GTTGTTTAGGAATTCAATTATTTTCAAAGAAGTTTAATAAAATACCACACAGACATTCAATTAATGTCAAAAATTTTAATAGAATTCTTTTAAAATTCCATTATTTTTAAAAGCTTTTTGCAATTCAATGATTTTCAATATCTATTATTTTCCAAAAATTTCCAAACAGAATTCAATTATTTAAAGAATTTTTGTCAAAATCTTCGTAAGAATTTAATTATTTTCATGAATAATAAAAATTTCTCAGGAATTGAATTATTTAAATTATTATTTGGCATAAAATTAGTCGAAAGAAATGAATTATTTAAAATTTTTTATAAAATTCTACGCAAGAATTAAATTATTTTTATAAATATTTAAATTCTTTTATGAATAATAAAATTCGTTGCAGGTCAATTCAATTTATTAGTAGGATAAGAAAGAAGTCAATATTATTGATGGAAATTAGGAAAAGTGTCAAGTTTAATTTTTCGATAGCTACTTTGTTACTACTTTTTTTTAGTTTAAAAGCTACTTTTTGCTACTTTTTTTAACATTAATTATCGAGTGGGAAGTCTGGAGTTGTGAAGTATGTATACTGGTGGTGAAAAGACCAAAAGGCAAAAATTTTAAGAAATAAAAATATATTTGAGAACTTTGGCAATTCGATAAACTGTTTCAGAATGTTTTTTCTGTGGCAGGTTTAATTCTCTGTTTATTAAATTTTGAAATAAAATAGCTTTTCATGTAACCTTTCAATTCGTTTAATGGATCATTTAGTTCTTTACTATCACAGTTTTTCTAAGGATATCAAATTGAGACAAAAAATGAATCAAAATTTTACAATTTTGATACCTTTTGTGTCTCAATTTGATATCCGTAGAAAAGCTGTGATAATGTATGCGTCCAGATTCAGTATCACTACAGAACGAAAACCATGTTTATTTTAAAAAAGTGTCATTGTTGCTTCCGAAAAGAAGATGTGGCAGAAATAGAAACTTGTTGCCAACTAATAAAAAGTAGCATTTTTATTATTCTTTTTGAGTGTTTCTATAATATTAAATTAAAAGTCGTACTTAAATTTAAATAAAAAATTAAAGCTAAAATAACATAAAATATTTACCTATATCATAAATAAAATTTGAATGAAAGTAAAACATGTTCTGTAAATATTATGCTTCCAAATATTCCAAAACAATTGAATTTAAATATTGAAGTATTTGATATTTGATTAATTGCAAAATGGTCCGTAAATTGAATAGGGGTTAGCCATATGTGATCATAATAGATGAATTTTCACTTGGGGCACTATTAGGTGTAAATAATGAAGGGTTACCAAACAATGGAGCATTAATCATGTTTATAGTATACAGTTTCTAGGAATTCAAGATTCATTTTCTTTTCTTTCACCTTTCTCTGGTGATTTTATTCTAGTTATGTTAGAGACAAAAATCTCTTTCTATAAAAAATTAATTTATTTCTTAATCTATTTTCTATTTTTTTTAATCTATTCTATAAATTTTATCAGGAGTTCAGGAGTGCGTATATACAGATATAGAGAGAAGATTATAGAATGTAAATGAGGGAGAAATTTGTTCAGTAGGATAAAGGCGGATAAAAATCTCGAATGTTGTTATGCAAGGAGAGTATGCAAATATTTAAGTCTATTATAAAGGAATTTTCTTTGAGGAAATTTTTTATGTAATAAAATGAAGGTCCTCGAGATTATTTTTGAAAGAAGATGAAACATGACGCGCTTATTCCCAGCTCGTTGATAACGTCGCATCGCATGAAGAGGGGCTGTTTGATACGTTGTTTACGAAGAGGTATAGTAGATCCGCACGGGGTATTACACGGAGTAAAGCGATGATGATGATAGTGTATATGTACATACACACTTGGTATTGCAAAACCGTATCGAACCGTGTGCAGTGTCTATGGCGCATTTCCCCATGCGGATTCCATAGACGACGAGAGCTAACAACGCCGCGACATCGGGAGTAGAGAGAGAGAGTATCGTTGACCCTGATGACGCCTCGACGTCGCCAGCTGGACAACAATGTGCTTTCTCTCACTCTCAGTCTCTCTCGCTCTCTCTTCACTTGAGAATTGCACTTGACTCGTGCTTTGGGTACTAGCAGCTTGAATTACTTTTGACGAGAAATGTTTTCTCTCTCTCTCTCTCTCAACTTGTTCGCACCACTGAGTGTTCTTGGAGCAGGAAACTTTACTATGACAAGTTCCACTCTTTTCTTCATTATCTCAACTATATGAGGGAAAAAAATTTCTTCTTTGTGGAGGAATTTTCATTTTTGATGGATATAGTCAAAGATGGATATTTCAAAGTTGGTGAAATACTTTCGGACAGACGTATAGAAACTAGTGTTATTAGTGTAGATTGCGATTGATAAATCAATTGATGCAATTCCGTAATCAAATCAGGGTTGCCACGCAACATGAAATACCTGGAAATGTCAGGGAATTTTCTAATGCTTGAAAAAACCTGGAAAAGTCAGGGAATTTTGATCGAAATCCTGCGGAAAATTGTTGTTTTCTAAAGTTATTGTGTTTATTCTTGAAATCTAATTTCACTTAAAACTTTCAAAATTAATTCAATTTTAAAAGAACTGCGTTTACAATTTTCGTAAGTAGATGAACTTTAAAAAGATTTAGATTTGAAATTTTGTAAAGTTTCAATTTCAAATGATCTTTATTAGAAATATTAAAAAACTGAGATTTAAAAAAAATTTTTAACACTAAAATTCTTCTGTAATTAGTTAAATTTTCTAATATATAGGAATTTAATTGATTATTAAAAATTTTTAAATAATGGACTTACAGAAGAATTTTATTTAAAAACACTAAAACAAATTGAATTTTGAAGCAATTACAAATGATTGCAGAAATTCAATTATTTTCAAAAGTAATAAAATTCTTTTCAGAAATTCAATTATTTTTGAAAATTTAAATAAAATAATTCTTCTCAGGCATTCAATTATTTTTGAAAATTTTAATAAAATAGTTCGAAAGAACTTAATTATTTTGAATACAATTTCAATTAAATTTTTTTTTAAGTAATTCAATTATTCTTTTATATCTTAATAAAATTCTTCCTAAGAATTCAATTATTTACATAAATAATTCTTCGAAAGAATTCAATTATTAAAGATAAATAACAAAATTATTTCGAAAAATTCAATTATTTTGAGGCATTTTAATAAAGTTCTTTGCAAAATTCAAATTATTTTTTTAAGCAAAAAATTTCTTCTTGAAAATTCAATTATTTTCAAAAAATGTAATAAAATATCTCACAGACATTCAATTATTGTCAAAAATTTTGATAGAATTCTTTGTAAAATTTCATTATTTTCAAAAACTTTTCGCAGTTCAATGATTTTCAATATCTATATTAATTTTATAAGTATTTAAATTTTTTTATAAATAATAAATCAATTATTTACATAAATAATTCTTCGAAAGAATTCAATTATGTCGATAAATAACAAAATTATTCCCAAAAATTCAATTACTTTGTTGCATTTTAATAACATTCTTTGCAAAATTCAATTATTTTTAAAAGTAATAAATTTCTTCTTCTAAATTCAATTATTTAAAAAAATCTTAGTAAATTCGATAGCAAGAATTCAATTATTTTTAAAAGTCAAAAATTTCTTCTTGGAAATTCAATTATTTTAAAAAATTCTACTAAAGTCGTTTAAAAATGTTAGTAGAATTCTTTTTAAAATTTAATTATTTTAAAAAACTTTTTGCAATTCAATAATTTTTAATATCTACTATTTTCACATATTTTAATAAAGTAATTCGAGAGAAATCAATTATTTTAAATACAATTTTAATTACATTTTTTCGAAATAATTCAATTATTCTTTTAGATTTTAATACAATTCTTCCTAAGAATTCAATTATTTACATAAATAATTCTTCGAAAGAATTCAATTATTAAAGATAAATAACAAAATTATTCCCAAAAATTCAATTATTTTGAGGTATTTTAATAAAATTCTTTGCAATATTTAATTATTTTTAAAAATAATAAATTTATTCTTGGAAATTCAATTATTTAACAAAATTATAATTATAATTTTATTTGACAAAATTATAATAAAATCATAAGATGGTAAATGGGTTTTTTCCGTGATAATAATTATTATAAGATGGTAAGGTGTCAATTTAGCGGATATATATTTATTTCGCTTATCATCGATAAGACAGAAATCAATATTTCAAAATTAATACTTCATTAATATTTGAAAATATATTTTATTTTGTGCATGGTTTCTGAAAAAAAAAATGAATCGTCTCTCACCGCTGGGGTATAATAAAATATAAAAAAATTTATTTCATTAATTTTATAATAAAATCGTTCGCAAGAATTCAATTATTTTCATAAATAATGCTTGTAAGCAGCAAAAATTAAATATTAAATATTGTATGTTATTAGTATGCATTATTGGCACAATATATTTTGTGCAACACCTGTAAGGAAAGTAATACTTTGCATGCCTGTAAAGTAGGCGCAAAACAGTACTTTGCTGCACTAGTGCGGCAAAGTGCTTATTTTGCTGCACTAGTGCGGCAAAGTGCTTACTTTGCTGCACTAGTGTGGCAAAGTTCTTAAACTTTTGGGTTTTTTTGGTGATATACATAGATATTTGTTTTCTATTTGTAGAATACCTGTTTTTTACAGTAATATACGCGTAAAAAACCACGAATATTACGTGCGGTAACATACGTTCCAAACCCTGCTAAACAGTACGTAAGTTGGCGTCAACTAGCGTTTCCAAACAGCTTTTTTTATCAAAACCAAAAGGTGTTGCACAAAGTACTGTGTGCAACACGTACGAAAGAAGATTTTCCAACTTCGTGCAAATTGCTGCCCTCGCTTCGCTCGGGACAGCAAACTTTGCACTCGTCGGAAAACAGCTTCTTTCTGTACTTGTTGCACAATATACTATTGTTGCACAGTGACCACTTTACTCACCACTTTTCATTTGTTGCAGGACATTTCGATATTCCGGATTCCAGGGGGATCAGTTGTGGCGTATCAATTGGAATGGATTATTTTCTCGTGCTCTACTGGACATATAGATAAGTATATCTAATTAATTTGTTTGTTTCGTGGAATTGTGTGACTATAATAGTTCGCCTTTTAAGTTTTTATTTTAGTCAGTAATTTATGAAAATATTTTTACTGAAAAATATTTCGTTCATTTGAACGTTTCAAAACTTGTTGATCGTCTTAAAAACCTTGAATTTTTGTTTACCTTAAATTTCGAATCTCAATGAATTTTAAAGCAAATTAATTTTTTCTTATTTCTGTAAATAATTAAATTTATTTCAAATTGTTAAATTCTAGAATAAGTTTTTTGAAGTTATTAATTTCAATTAACTTAAAAAAGAATTTATGTAGTTATAAACAGTCATAAATTTTAAAAATATTTCAATTTCAGAAAATGTTATTTTTGAAAACCTCAATAGCTGTAAAAAAAATTGCCAATAATTAAATAAGTGTTATAATAATATTTTATTTTTAGAATTACAGTAATTATTTAAAAAATTATTTCAATTTTGAATAATTTCACCTAAAATTCTGAAAAAAATTGTGTTCTTATGAAATTTTAATACTTTTAAATACTTGAAATTGAGAAAAGAATGTATTAAAGAATTATCAAATTATATAGAATTTTTTTTTTTGAAATTAAGTAAATTTGTTAAAAAATTGCATTAGATATTAAAAAAAAATTAAATTTTACAAAAAGTTACAATTCAATATTATTCAAATGTTTGTTATAATTTAAAGCGGTATTATAAGGGTCTGAACTGAATCTAAAATAATATAACTGCGAAAGAATTACAATTAAAATATTTATTAATTAGTTAATTTTAAAAATATTTAAATTAAAAATTATCTTTAAATAGAAGTTTTGCAAAATTTTATTTTAAATTGATAAAAATTTTATTTCCAAATTATTTCAGTTCAATTTTTGCTTATTGGATTAAAGATAATTGAATTTTTCTAATAAGTATAATTGAAATTTTTTGGAATAATTGAAATTTCCTAGAATTCAATTGAAAATAATTGAATAATAAAAATAACATTGAATAATAGTTGAATAATAAAAATAAAATAATTGAATAATAATAATAAAATAATTGAATAATTGAATTTTCTATGAATGTTATTGAAATCTTCGAAAATCGAGAAAAGTTTGCAACAATAGCTAATTTTGTTTTTAAAATAGGTAGAAACCCTTAGTTTTAAATTAAATTTTTACTATTTAAAATTATCTTCTTTGTTATAGATTTTTTTATATTATAATAATATTAGTACTTTTTTACTAACATTTTTTTTCTTCTTGTTTCAGAATATTTCCACGTTCTTCAAGTCCTCCGGCGAATCGTCTCTAAAAATTTTTCTCTACTATTCTATCTTATTAGAATAAAAGGTAAGTTTATTATTTTAAAACTTTTTTTAAAATTTCATTTATTGACTCGGTTTTAAATTAATTTTTTATAAGTTTTTTCCATTAGTTTATAAGTCATTTTATAGAAAATCTTTTTTTTAATTATTCGTATAATTGAATAAATATTTAATTTGTTTTTTAATTATTTTTTCTTTAAATATGAATGTTTAAAAAATTTTCTTCTCATTTAATTTGCACTAATCGTGCGAATAATATTTTAATTGTTGATGCTTCTTATTTTTTAGTGGTGAATAATTCTGGAGAGGATTAGGAAGTGAAAATGAGACCTTAAGCTGGGCAGCGTAAAATATTAATATCAGGAGTTGGTCCAAGGAAACTGTGCTAGCAAAATTGGAGGAATCAGAGTTACAAGGAAACCATGATAACAATGATATTAAATATTATATCGCGACGCTTAAGTACCCCGATTTTGGTGAGTGATATTATTGAATTTTCATTTAATTTCTAATTATTAACGATACTTGATTATAATTTGCCATGAACTGAACAAATTTACCCAATTTTTCTCTTTTTGAGAAAAATATTTAATTGACAATATTAATTAATTTTTCCTCGTGGAAATTTCTTATTGCAAAAAATATATTTTTGTCTTCAAACAGTTTTGATTAGTTTTTAGTTTTTTCTTTTTTACTCTGTTTTCTTCTTGTCCATCAGGGAAATATTTTTTTTTTAAATCGAGAGCAGTATTATCTAAAAACCTCAAACTTTATTCGATTTTGGTTACATATCACAGCCGGAATATAAAATTGGCAAAATTGAGTTTGAAGTTCAATATCGATTTATTGCAGAATTTGATTACTTGATTAAAAAGTTGTTACTTAGGAGCGAATTTCTAAAGTAAATTATAATTTAAATAAATTGTTATTTAAGCAAAAGTAAAATTAAAAATTTAATAGTAAATTATAATTTAAATAAATTATTATTGAAACTAACTTAAAATCGAAAAGTAAATAGTAAATTATAATTTAAATGAATTATTTTTATTTAAGCAAAATTAAAATAAAAAATTAAATTGTAAATAATAATTTTAATAAACTATTATTCATACTTACGATTTTTTACAAAAAAAATAGAGAATTTTAAGTAATGGACTTTATCTAAAAAATTATTTTTTGCGACATGAAAGTTGATAATTTACAATGTGTAGTCAGTTTGCTGGGGGAAGGACAGAAAATTTACCTGCCTCTCCCCTTTACGACTAGATATTAATCTTGGAATCCTGAATCCTTTTGAGTGCCTGTTAAAAATCCAACAAATAGTCACTGCTGGTAAAAACCCAGGGAAAAAATGAAAATGTGGTGGAAAAATCTAGACGATGTACAATAAACATAAAACATTCTGAATAATTGCAGTTGTACAATGTAAAAATTTTTTTTGAAATAAGGGGTTGATATAGGTTTCCATATGGATTGAAATTCATAATTCTTCAAGTACTCAAAGGGAGAATATTTATTATTTTATTATGATTTATGTTCTGTTAAATTTAAAAAGAAATTTATTGTCACTTAAAAAAATAACGATTTTTTTTGCAAATTTATTGCAAACAACTTTTTAAAAAAAATTATTTAGAGAAGAGATTTAGTTCAAAATAATTGTAGAAAATAATAATTTAAATTATAAAAATAATTTTTGAGAAGTTACAATGTCAATTTTTATAAATAATTCATTTTCAAGAGGTTTCAAATTAAAATGTTTGAAAATTTGAATTTTAAATAATTTTAATCGAAAATTCTAAAGAAGTTAGTTTTTGAAAAATTTTTATTCAAAATTAGTTAAAGTTTTGCATAATATATTTAATTGAAAAATTTTCGAATAATCAAACTTTCGAAAAATTTAATTGTAAACAAGTGGATTTAAAAATTATTCTTTTAATTGAATTTTATTGCTTTTGAAATAAATTGAATTTCTTCGAGGAGTTTTATTATTTATGAAAGTAATTGAATTTCTACGTAGAATTTTATTAAAATTTTGAAAATAATTGAAATTTTGACGAGAATTTTGGAAAATTTTTGTGAACATATTTGAATTTCTGCGAAGAATTCTATTGCTTCTGAAAATAATTGAATTTCTACGTAGAATTTTATTAAAATTTTGAAAATAATTGAATTTCGGAGAAGAATTTTATTATTTATAAAATTAATTGAAATTTTGACGAGAATTTTGGAAAATTTTGAAAATAATTTAATTTTGGAGATGAATTTTATTATTTATAAAAATAATTGAAATTTGGACTAGAATTTTGAAAAATTTTGAAAATAATTGAACTTCGGAGAAGAATTTTATTATTTATATACAGATAATTGAAATTTGGAAAGGAAATTTAAAAAAAATTTTCAACATAATTGAATTTCGGAGAAGAATTGTATTACTTTTGAAAATAATTAAATTTCTGCAATCAGTTGTAATAATTATTAATAATCAATTAAATACCTATATATATTTAATAAAAAAATTTCTAATAATCAAAATTTCGTAAAATTAAATTGTTAACAAGTGGATTTCGAATTATTTTAATCGAATTTTTTTGCTTTTCATTCAATAACTGGAATATTAAAAACATTTTTAAATATTATTAAAAATAATTTATTTAGAGAAGAATTTTTATTAAAATTTCTAGATAATAATTGAACTTAAATTATGATGAATTGAAATTTTAAAAAACATTTTCAAATATTATTAAAAATATAAGTAATAATTGATTTAAGGAAGAATTTCAATTAATAATTTCAGAAAATAATTGAATTGAAATTATTATTTATGTTCTTTTCAATTAAATCAAATTTTACTGTCATATTAAAAAAACCTATTTTTTGCAAATTTTTCAAACAACTTTTCAAAGAAAAGAATCTCATATTCTACGGGAAAGAATAAATAAATAATTATCCTAAGTATACAATGCCATTTGGCATTTTTTTCAGTCAATATATCCACCGTTACATTTAAGGGTATAATCACAAGTGCAATTTCAGTCATTTTATGAGCTTAAAATACATTACTTTTCATTCTCATTTAGAAAGAAAGGAATTACAGTCCTAATATTTACTGGAATTTTATTAACAATAATGAATAGTTTAAAATTTTTGCAAATTATACGTTCATTTGTTTTTTTTTATTTCTTTATTGGGTTGTATAATTATAATTGAAAACCTATATCGTAATTACAATTCCATCGCATATGTCTCGTATTTATATTGAAAACTAAAATTCAGTAATTCAACGCGTGTACACGCTATACCTACTTTTTTTTCTTTGCCATTAAATTCGGTATTTTGCTTTTGATTGATTGCACTGTAACCTGTCAGATTAAATCAATATTTCCCTGAAGTTGCAGATTTGAAAACTGTAACAAATGTCTCCAATATATTTTGTAAAAACAGATTTTAGAAAGGTGCTTTCATAAAAATCAAAGTCAATTTGTTATTTAAAATTGTGATATAAATTGTTGCGGAGGTTATTGCTGAAAAATTAAATGAAACATTGTTTGATGAAATTTAAATTGAGAGGACTATAGTAAATTTTAATTATTTTGAATTTTGAATTTATTCTGAAATCTGGAATTAAATAATGTAGGAATTATTTACAATTTGTTTTTATTATTGTTATCGGGAAATATTGTATTAAATTATTTTTACTTTGGAAAATTTTTCTCATTCTCTGAAAATCGATAAATTTAATACTGCAATGAACGTTAAAACGAATCAGGGTTGCCACAAGTCAGAGAATTGAGGGAAAAGTCAGGGAAATTA